ATAGCACGCTTCAATCTGCATTCAAACTCCCTAGTTCTTTCTTCGGATATGGATAGCATTTTCTAACATGAGACCTTTGGAGCTTTTCAAGTCTCTTCCAGCTTTAATGCTCTATGTCCTAAATCCTTTTCTAGCATGAATATTTCATATTCTAAGATCCCTCTTAGCTCAGACACCCCACGTTCTATGTTCCAAAGACCCCCCCCAGCTCCCCTACTCCCTATGGCTCTGTATTTCAGGGCTAATAATTAGATATCCTAGAGAGCGGGGCCCTTCCCTGGCTTCGCTTCACTGGCTTCATATTCCCCTTGCTCACAAAGCTGGACTTAGGCTTTTGGAAGCAAAGAATCCTTACCAGGCTGGGTCACTGTGCTAAGACTTAGAGGTCACCTGTAATCATAAGCAGGGGAGTCTGTGTGTTTCTTTGTCCTCACTGTGTGCCTAGTGTCGAGCTGTGCCATTCGTTAAAAGCCTGTGGATGGATCGAATAGACCAGATTCCCTGGCTTTGGCAACTCACTGGAGGCTTCCTCATCTGGGCAATGAGAAACGGGAGCTGGGGAAACGGCGGGCTAACACCAGCATCTTCCACCAGGGGGCAGCACAGTACTGGTTATCTTGGTGTATGTGTATTCTTGGAAGTTGAAAGGGGTCCATATGATCAAAACAATAATAGTAACTAGCATTTATATAATGATGTAAGGCTGTAAAGGGTTTCTAATGCAACCCAAACATACCTGAGCAGGAAATGCATAGGCATTCCCAATACGCGTTGTTATCCAGCTTCCATAGACTCCAGAGATGGGGGACCCTTCCTTGACCGCCATCCCACCTTTATCAATGTTTACAATTATTTTTCTTTAAGGCAGAGCAGAAATGTCTCTGCGTGTATATTTATACATATGTAGTAAGCACGTGAATGTTTTATGAGGGACATACATGTTCCTATGTTTATATATGAAGGGTGGGTATGGGGTGACAGAACCAGTCTCAGAGTCAGGAAGTCCTGGTTTCAAGTCCTGCCTCTGACATACCCCAGCTGTGTGACCCTGAGGGAGTCACCACCTCCCAGCACCCCAGGCAGCTCTCCAAGACAGCAGACAAGACACCAATCCATGCAGATGAATCGAGGCCCAGTCAAAATAAAATGCGTATGTAGGAATGTGCACACACACTTGGGCAAAAGCATAAAGGGGGGAGGGGGCAAAATCTCTCTGGAAATGAGCTTTAAAAACAGCTTTGGGACCTCTTTACGCCCCCTTTGTGCCTTGCAGACCTCTGACTTAGCCTTCGAATGCTTTTCCTATTGCTTTGAGCAAATCACCTAGCTTTTCCAAATCTGTTTCCTCACCTGTAAAATGAGAACTTTTGTGCCTACAGTAACTACCTCCAAATATTTTCAAGTTCAGTGTCATGCTTGTATAAGGATTAAGCGGGGGCAGCTAGGTGGCACAGTGCATACAGCACCAGCCTTGAAGTCAGGAGGACCTGAGTTCAAATCCGGCCTCAGACCAAACACTTGACACATACTAGCTGTGTGACCCTGGGCAAGTCACTTTATCCCAACTGCCAAAAAAAAAAAAAAAAAAAAGGTATAAGGATTGAGCCCAAACCACCCACCACAATTTAGCCTTGATATCTGTTGCTTCTGGGTGAGGGATTTTGTTGTGGCCTATGGGTCCTATATAAAGGCATCAAGTTAGCTGGAATCAGGGAATTCAAATGAGCGACAGGTCCAGGAGGAGAGCATGTCAACCAAGGGAAGATGGGGTGAGGGCAGCTACGGCCAGTGACTCAACAAGTCACTCAGTCCAAGGCCTGGCTGATGCCACCGGGGTGCCCACCCCCTCGAGGATGGAGGGAAGTCCTGAGAAAACCTCCCCCTTGGTACCTGCCCACCCCAGCCACTACACTATAATCTGCTCCTTTGCTGCCCAAATGTCTCCAGTAAACTCAGGTTTGTCTCAACCACAGAGGCCTGCGATTAACTACAGAGAAACATAACTGCAAAGAAACTCAGAATCCAACCCCTGCCTAAATGTTAGGAATTTTCCTAACTAATGGCTTGGCATGATTGCCATTGAACTCATACATTTTTTTGCCTAAAATAAACTCCCTAAAGCTGAAGAGGCAGAATCTTGTGGACCTGAGTGGTCATCATATAGGGTGTCCCAAAAGTCTTGGTGTAGTCTTAAAACTATTAAAGCTTAAGACTGCAGGGGCAGCTAAGTGGCGCAGTGGATAGAGCACTGGCCCTGGATTCATGGAGGACCTGAGGTCAAATCCAGCCTCAGACACATAACACTTACTAGCTGTGTGACCCTGGGCAAGTCACCTAACCCCATTGCCTAGCCAAAAATAAATAAAAATTAAATTAAATTAAATTTTAAAAAAAGTAAGTACCAAATGAAATCCATGTTTGGGGCAGCTAGGTGGCACAGTGGATAGAGCACTGGCCCTGAAGTCAGGAAGACCCGAGTTCAAATCCGGCCTCTGACCAAACACTTTACTAGCTGTGTGACCCTGGGCAAGTGACTTAACCCCAATTGCCTAAGACTACACTAAGTCTTTTAGGACACCCTGTATAGTTCTCACACTCTGTTGTTATTGTTCAGTCGTTTCAGTCTTTCCTACTCTTCGTGAGCTCATTTGGGGTTTTCTTGGCAAAGAAACTGGAGTGGTTTGCCATTTCCTTCTTCAGCTCATTTTACAGATGAAAAAACTGAGGCAAATAGGATTAAGTGACTTGCCCAGGGTCACATAGCTACTAAGTGTCTGAGGACACATTTGAACTCGGGTCTTCCTGACTTCAAGCCAGGTACTCTACCCACTGACTTAACATGAGTTAACTACTATTGTAACAGTATTAAATATGTAAAGTACTTTGTAAATTGTGAGAAGCTCCAAACTTGTCAGCTCTCAGCACGCCCCCTCACCTACTCTCAGAAATGTGGACTCATTCCCCACTGAGGGAAACTCAGGGATTGTCACAAACACAAACAAGTATGGCATCTGAAACCCCCACTTTTTTAGGTGTTGCAGGGCCCTGCCTGTCCGGGTTTATCTACTTGGAGAAAAGATTTCCATACATGGAGTGCCCCAAACCTCTCCTGGCCAGCTTAGCCTGCACTCCCTTTACCCCAGCCCCTGCCCCCAAATCTTGTCTCTTAGCAGGAGGGAGAGCCAAGAGGTGAGGAGACCTAGGAAGAGGCTGGCGTGAGGGGCATCCACAGAGCGGGAACCCCAAGGGTGGCAGGGGAGTGATGCTTTTTGGCTCATTCTGATGCTTGTTTTCAGAGAGGAACAGAGTGCAAGGGGAGACTGTAAGTGTGGAAACTGCTGAAAGGATGTGGAAGTAAGAAGGAGGGGAGCAGAGAAGGGGATCATTCTCATTTCCCCACAAGAATGTAAACACCTGGAGGGCTGGGACCGCTTTACTTTATGTCCCTCTCCAAGGGCCCTAGCACTTAGCACAGTGCCCAGTACACAGGGAACAGAACAGGGCCCAGAGCTGTTATTTCAGGGGCAAAGGACCTCCCGGGTGGGGGAGCTTCGTCAATGCACACCAACACCTTTTCGGCGACTCAGTTTTAGAAGGGAGGTTCTCAATGCTTCCTGCATCCCGGATCCCTCCGGACCAGTCTGGTGAAGCCTGTGGACCCCTTCTCAAAATAATGGTTTTAAATGCAGAAAACAAAATACAAAGCGTTGCAAAGGAAATCAATTACATTAAAACAAAGATGTAATGTCTCCCCATCCAAGTTCCCGGACCCTCGGATCCCAGGTAAGAACCTTTGTTCTTGGAGTCTTCACAGGGGCTTTGTAGTATAGAAAGGTCTGAGCCACACACAGCTGGAGCCAGGAAATCACATCATGCTTGCAGCGGTCCCAAGCTGCTTCCTGCTGCAAGAAGGCAAGCTTCTTCATGCAGGCTAGATGGTATGACTCACGGAATGCTTCCATTTAAAGATGGGGGCACGGTATGGGAGAAAGTGCGTCGGACTTGAGATCTGGAAAGACTCAGGTTCAAATCCTGAGCCCCAGGCCAGCAATAGCACTTCGCTTCTTCAGCAGGACTAATCCATACCTGCAGCACCTGCTTCATCAGGCCACCCCGATCCCACACAAGGCTGGGCAATGGGAAGAAGTACCACCAGCAGGGGCGTGCCACCCGCCCGCCTTCCCCTCTGAGCCCGATCCCCCAAGGACGGCCACCCAGAACTCGCCCAGGCTACCCGACTGCTTGCAGGTGTGGGACGAGACGGGACCCTGTTCCTCCCAGGGAAATGGAGGCCCACCAAGCCTTAGCTCTGACCCTCCACCGTGTTCGCCATCAGGCCCACAGCTCTCCTGAGTGTGAGCTGAACCACATTAAAACGTAATTGGGAAACTTTAAACAAAAGCAACTACTTAACAAAGAAATATGTAAACACATGCAGTTTTCCAAGTCAATATTTGGCCAGAAGGAGTCCCTGCACACGATTTAGCAGCCTCATCTCTGAGTCTGACACCAGGCGTCTGCGTCCTTCCTTGTTTCTCCATCCAGCCCCACCATGGAACCTCCTAACGAAGCCCAAGGACTTCTGGGCTTTTCTCACCTGCCCCAAAGCTGAGCTCTTTTTGGTGCTGTTTCCCCCAATGAGAGAGTGAACCCCTCTTCACCGTCTGTTGGCACGCCCAGCACTTGGTATATACAGCACCTTAACATGCTTTTCCATTCATTCATCTACTTGGCATAGGTTTTGTATTTCCTTCCCTGTGTCCTACCTTCCCACCCTAAAAGGACATCAACTCCTCAAAAGCAGAGGCTGGTTCTCTTTTGGTTGACTCATTCCAGGGCCTGGCTTAATGCCCGGCACTTGAAGACCCTTAATCCTATGTGCTGATTGAGCGATCCAATGTGTTCATGTATGTAGAATGCTTTGTCAACCTTTAAGAAGCAGGTTCGGGATTGCAACAGGAGATCAGAGAAAAAGAAAAACAAACAAACAATCCAGGATGTGTGATTCAGATTAATCAAACAGGTCTGTTATTTGTGTATAAAACTCTACAGTTACAAAAGTCACATATAAATGGAGTCACCAAAGCAGCAGCCCACCGATGGGGGCTCAAGGCACTGGACACAGCACAGCCTCGAAAATGGACAGAATGGTACAAATGATCAGCTGGGGGACATTCATCACTCCTCAAGACTCTGGTTAGGACCAGGCAGGCATACACATCAACACATTCACCCATATACCCCTCTGCCATTCACCTATAAATCAATACAAAAATAGCCACAGTTTAACTTCAATGCCACAGGACTAGCCCCTGATGCACCAGTTCAGGGCCAAGCTAAGCTTGCCTATTCCCACACACAGCAACTCAGGCTTAACTAAGAAATCTTTTTTTCTTTTTTCCTTTCTTTTTTTTTGGCCCCGAGCTTCCCAGCTGGGATGAAGAAAGAGGGCATGAGGCCTCATCAAGAGGGCCCAGAACAACAGCAGTTGAATCAATACCCAGATGGACTGTAAGGCGACAGAGATAGAAACTGGGGGGTGTGAGACTGCCCCACCCCAGGACCACGGCTGGGGATGGGGGGGGGGGTCGCAGGGCTCTCAGACCCCCAGATCTGCCCCTACGGTTTAGTCGCTATCCCACAATCTGTCAGCATCAGGCAAGAGACAGAGGGTGAGCCAACAGGACAGGGGCTCTGGCCAGACGGCCTCCTACTCTGCCTCCTTGTCCCTGGGGGAGGGGGAGGGTCGAGTTAGGCAAACGGCTTCTCAAATTCCTTCAAGTCCCAGAGAAGCCTGAGAAAGAGGAGCAAGGGCTTGTGGGTGCCCCTGGACTCTGCCACTCCCACACTCTCAGGCTGGACAGGGCCCAGCTGGGCTGAGGGAGCTGGAAGCAGGGGCCGAGGCCTGGGCTGGCATCATCCAGCTCCGCCCCTGCGGTCCCAGATCCCCTGCCCCACCCCCTCCTCCCAGGTGGTCTGGTGGTCACAGGCCCTGAGGATGCTCCCCGGGATAGCACATGCAGCAGCCTCCTCCCGAAAACTCCAAGTCTGGCTTCTCGCCCCCGAGGAGGCCGTCGGTGACCAAGTGCTCAGATATGATGTCTTCCACCCTCGTGATGTAGAGAAGAGTGAGGAGCACGCCCAGCAACTGTGGAAGAAAAGGGAGAGGGGAGGCAAAGCAGGGGGGAGGCCCCCCCCCCAGGGGAAAGGATGCCATTGGCTGTGGAGTCAGAGGCTCTGGGGTCACATCCTGCCTCTGCCACTTACTAACAGCATGGCCTTAGGTAAACCCTTTCACCTTTCTGGGCCTCAGTTTCCTCATCTGTAAGATGGGGGTATAAGAAGAGCACCAGGCCCGAAGGAGAAGCCTGTGTAAGGAGCTTTGCAAATCCAAACACACACTGTAAGTGTGAGCTATTCTTACCACGCATCAGTCATATTAACGAGAGGCGGTGTGGTACGGAAGCCAGGAAGATGGAGGTTCGAATCCTACCCTGACAAACACTGGCTGCAGACGCTGGCCAAGTTCAGTCTCTCGGGGCTCTGAGCTACTCCCTGATGCTCCAAGCTTCTGCCCTGGCAGAGGGAGACCCCCGGCAGAGCTCCCCGTCCATGAAGTCACAGGGCCGCTCCTAACCCTTTCATCACTGTTGTCATTGGGAATAATACGAACAGTGGCACGCAGTGATGTGGCACACAGTGACATGGCACTCAAAGGCCTGTAGAGCGCTTCACATTCCATCCTCGCCACAAGCCTCGTCGGTGGGCATTATCGTCATCCCCGTTTTACAGATGAGGAAGCTGAGGGCGACAGTGCTTGCGTGACTTGCTCAGCTAGTCAGTGTCCGGGGCAGGCTTTGACCCCAGGCCTCCTTGAGTGCCGGTCAGCGTCAGCGCTCCCTCTCCTGCCTCACTAATCCCCGCTCTGTTCGCTATTATCATCACTACTTTCCCCATCTCTCGCTGTCCTCCGAGCCCTCCCGCCTCGACCTCCCTCCGGGAGGGCCTCACCTGGGGTAGCAGGATGCCCAGCAGGACGGCAGCCATGATGGTGTAGTTGTCCATGAACCAGATGATCACGGCATTGGTGCAGCCACGGATGTAGATGACGTCCAAGACACTCAGGCGCTGATAAGGAACGAGGGTGGTAGGGGCGGCGCCAGGACACCAGCCTCTGCCCCTCGAAGGGCGCTTGCTCACAAAGCTCTTAGAGGCCTCTCAGGCCAGTCTGGTCCCTGGTCTAAGCCTCCTCCTTCCTTTCTACAAATCCCAGGAAAGGAAGCGACCTAGCCCAGCATCCCACAGCCAGATGGTGGGGCAAACGGGATTCGAATCTGGGCCCTCTGTCCCGTCCTCTGGGGTTCTGACTCCACCAGGGGAGAGGAACAAGAGGGTTGCTAAAGCACTACATCCACCCCACTCCCCTACCAGCTGAGTCTGTTCTGACGTTCCCTGTTCTAAGGCCCCTCCAGCTTGATGTTCCCTGTCCTAAGGCCCCTCCCACTTCTAATATTCCCTGTTCTAAGCTCCCCCTACAGCTCTGATGTTCCCTGTTCTAAGGCCCCTCCCAGCTCTGACATTGTAGATTCTAGGTTCTAAGGTCCCTCCCAGCTTTGATGTTCCCTGTTCTAAGGACCCCCCCCGCTCTGATGTTCCCTGTTCTAAGTCCCCTCTCAGCTCTGACACTCTAGATTCTAGGTTCTAAGGACCCTCTCAGCTCTGATGTTCCCTGTTCTAAGGCCCCTCTCAGCTCTGACATTCTAGATTCTAGGTTCTAAGGCCCCTCTCAGCTCTGACATTCCCTGTTCTAAGGCCCTTCTCAGCTCTAACATTCTAGATTCTAGGTTCTAAGGCCCCTCCCAGCTCTGATGTTCCCTGTTCTAAGGCCCCTCTCAGCTGACACTCTAGATTCTAGGTTCTAAGGCCCCTCTCAGCTCTGACATTCCCTGTTCTAAGGCCCCTCTCAGCTCTGACACTCTAGATTCTAGGTTCTAAGGCCCCTCTCAGCTCTGACACTCTAGATTCTAGGTTCTAAGGACCCTCCCAGCTCTGATGTTCCCTGTTCTAAGGGCCCTCTCAGCTCTGACATTCTAGATTCTAGGGCTGTTCTAGTTTTGACATTCTAAGTGGCACAGTGAGCTAACAGTCAGGAAGACCTGAGCTAGAATCCTACCTCAGACACTTATTAGCTGTGTGACTCTGGGCAGGTCACTTGAAACTCTCTGAGGTTTAGTATCTTCATCTATGAAATGTGGATAGTGATATTATCTCCCTCACAGGGATGCTGTGAGGATCAGATACAATTATACACAGGAAGAGTTCTGCTCTCAATAGAGCTGCCAGTGAGAGGTATCTAAGGGCCCTTCTAGATGTGTCCTGTCATGTCAAGATTCTCACAATCTGGGCAGAGTCCTAGGATTCTCCTTGGGTGCCCAGCGAAGCAGGGGATGTCAGAGGTTGTAAATGCCTTCTTCCCTCCCTCCCTTCCTTCATTGCTTCCTTCTGTTTCTGTCTGTCTCTCTCAGACAGATACTTCATTTGGGTGTGGACTGTGACTTTGAGGAAGTCTTTGGCCCTCTCTGAGCCAGTTTCCTTATCTGTAAAAATGCAAGTGAAACACCTGTGCCCACAATGAGGAAGCCCCTGAGCCGGACCGAAACCCAGATCTCCTCACTCTCGGACCCTAGTTCTTACCACCACACCCTGTGGATGACAGGCTAGTTTCAAAGCTCTCTCAGAACAGGGGCGCTCCCGAAGCCCCGAGACCAGCCTGCATGGCCGGGGATGCTCATCTCAGGACCGGGGGGACAGAAGGAAACACAACGTTTTTACGATTTGAAAGAACTCACCTCCTTGTCGATGGTTTTGTAGCCACACATGGTGTTGATGACGTCAGACTGAAACAGAAAGGTACAGTCAGAGCCAACAAGGAAAGAGCCCATGGCTATTCTCGCAAGCACCTCTTGGTACAGAGGCTCCTAACCTAAGTTCCAAAGCGTATTCTGACAACCGCATTCATTAGAATTGCTTTCCTTTGTAATCCTATTTTTAAATTTTATGCACTTAAAAACATGGTTCTGAAAAGGGGTCTAAGAGACATCATCAGACTGCTGAAGGGCCCCAGGACACAAAACGTTAAAACCCCCTGACTTAGCGTCTCTTGTCTTTGGGGTATATTTTTTAAAAATATTTTCCCCCAATTACATGTAAAAATAAATTTTAACATTTGTTGTTAAGTTTTGAGTTCTAAATTCTATCCCTCCCTCCCTTCCCTCTCTGCAACAGTAAGCAATCTGATACAAGTTATACATGTGTAATCACGTAAAATGTTTCCATGTTAGTCATTTGGTGGGGGGGGGGCTCAAAACAAAGTGAGAGAGAGGAAGAGAGGAAGGGAGGGAGGGAAGGAAGAAGGAAGAAAGCAAAGAAGGGAAGGGAGGGAGGAAGGAAGGAAAGGAGGGAGGGAGAAAAGGAGAGAGGGACAGAGGGAGGGAGGGAGGGAGGAAGGAAGGAAGGAAGAAGGGAGGGAAGGAAGGAAGGAAGGAAGGAAGGAAGAGGAAGGAAGGAAGGAAGGAAGGAAGAAGGGAAGGAGGGAGGGAAGGAAGTAAGGAAGGAAGGAGTGAAAAATAATGTGCTTTGGTCTGCATTCGGACTCCATCAGTTCTTTCTCTGGAGATGGATAGCATCTTTCATCAGGAGTCCTTTGAGAATGTCTTGGATCATTGTATTGCTGAAAAGCTAAGTCATTCACAGTTGTTCATTATACAATGTTGCTCTTACTGTGTACAGTGTTCTCCCGGTTCTGCTCACTTCACTTTGCATCAGTCCATACAAGTCTTTCCAGGTTTTTCTGAAATCATCCTGCTCATAATTTCTTATAGCACAATAGTATTCCATCACAATCATATACCACTTGTTCAGCCATGCCCCAACTGATGGGTATCCCCTCAATTTCCAATTCTAAGCCATTACAAAAAGAACTGCTATAAATATTTTTGTACAAATAATTTTTTTCCCTTTTTAAAAAAATCTCTTTGCGATACAGACTTAGTAGTGGTATTGCTGGATCAAAGGGTATGCATAGTTCTATAGCCCTTTGTGCATAGTTCCAAATTGCTCTCCAAAATGGCTGGATCAGTTCACAACTCCACCAACATTGCATTAGTGTTCCAATTTTCCCACATCTTCTGCAACATTTATCATTTTCCTGTTTTGTCACTTTAGCCAATCTGACAGGTATGAGGTAGTACCTTAGAGTTGTTTTAATTTGCATTTCTCTAATCAATAGTGATTTAGAGCATTTTTATATGACTATAGATAGCTTTGATTTCTTTGTCTGAAAACTGCCTGTTCACATTCTTTAACAGTTTATCAATTGGGAAATGACTTGCAGTCTTAATTAATTTGACTCAGTTCTCTATATATTTGAGAATTGAGGCTTTTATCAGAGATACTTGCTCTAAAAAATTTTTTCCTAGTTTTCTGCTCTCCTTCTAATTTTGTTAGCACTGGTTTTGTTTGTGCAAAAACTTTTTATTTTATATAATCAAAATTATCCATTTTAGATTTCATAATGCTCTCTATATCTTGTTTGGCCTAAATTCTCCCTTTATCCATAGGTCTGACAAGTAAACTATTCTCCTAATTTGCTTATGGTATCACCTAAATCATGTACCCATTTTGACCTTATCTTTGTATACAGTGTAAGAGCTGCACTATGCCTAGTTTCTGCCATACCATTTCAGTTTTCCCAGCTTTCTGTCAAATAATGAGTTTTTGTCCCAAAAGCGTGGATATTTGGGTTTATCAAACACTAGATTACTATGGTCACTACAATGTAGTATGTATAGAATCTGTTCCACTGATCCACTACTTTATTTCTTATCTAGCACAAGATTGTTTTGATGATTACTGCTAGGCCACCTTCCTTCACATTTTTTTTTCATTGACTCTCTTGATATTCTTGACGTTTTGTTCTTCCAGATGAATTTTATTATTATTTTTTTCTAGCTCTATAAAATAACTCTTTGGTAGTTTGATTGGTATGACACTGAATAAATAGATTAACTTAGGTAGAATTGACATTTTTATTATATTGACTCAGTGTACCCAAAGGAATTACTATCTTTCCAATTGTTTACATCTAACTTTGTCTGAGAAATGTTTTGTAATTGTGTCATACAGTTCCTTGGTTTGTCTTGGCAGGTAGACTGCCAAGTATTTTATACTGTCTACAGTTATTTTAAATGGAATTTCTTTTTCTATCTCTTGCTGCTGGGCTGTCTTTGGGTTTTAAGATGTCTGGACTGATTCATGAATCTGTGCTCTCCACAGGTTTCACAGTCAGTCAGGCGGTCACTCAATAAACATGTATGAAGTGCCTACCATCTGCCAGTCATTATGCTAAGCAGACAGCACCTGCCCTCCAGGAGCTCACAATCTAATGGGGGATGGAGGAGGCTGAGCGCATGCGCGCTCTCTCTCTCTCTCTCTCTCTGATTCATAAACATAAAAAAGAACAAAAAGATTGTGCGTGGATAGAAGCAGCATGGTATTATGAGTGGGCAGAGTGCCAAAGCCCTGGGTTCCAATCCTATTTCTGACATTAGCTCTGTGAGCCTGAATCAATCAATTAACCTTTTCTACATTCTTCAGGCAGCTCTCGAGCCCTGCTTGCTTGGGACTAATCTACTAAATTATAGACCCTTCACAGGCTGAGAGGGATTTCCCACTCCCTGGGCAGGCAAAACCACAGATCTGAGTGTACTTGCATATTGGAAACCAGAGACTTCCATTACTCAAGAGTTTTTTGGTTTTCGTGCAGCCCATATGAACCCCCACAAGGCAGTAAGCAAAGTGGCGACTTGTTTCTTCCTCACTCTTTTTCTTTTCATTGATCCGGATGGTGCTGCTGCCATTTCCTTATTACTTCCAAAGTCAGAGTCAGTGCAATCAGGCTTACCCAATCTCTGCTCTCTTCTCTCTGTCATGTCCTATTAAGAATTCTCATGCTCATCTGTCACCTTCACGTTTATTTTGTGTGTGTGTGTGATTGTGTGTGTGTGTGGTGTGTGTGTGTACCTGTGATTTTTGTCAATGCTGGAATCTCCCAGCGAGGGAAGTCCCTCTGAGGGTTTGGGTCAGCCCCTACTGAGAGATAGAGACACGGAAGAGCTTGGGACGTGGGGTCAGAGGGCTGAGGTTCAAATAACTCCCTGTGTGATGCTGGCCAAGTCACTTAACCACTGCTGGACCTCAGCTCCCACGTCAGGAAATAGAAGGGGGAGACCCAGTGATCACTCAGGCCTCTGTCCACCCAAAGCTACGCTGAGTGGCCGAGCCTTCTTCAAATGCCCCTCACCTTTGGAAGGCAGGTCCCCACCCTCCACGCTGCCTTGGTCCTCCCAGTGGGGCTGACAGCCTCCACTCTGCCCCCGCCTCCCTCTGCACGCCCAGCTCTCTCCCTTCTCAAATTCCTTCATACTTTCAGGCTGACTCGGTCCAAGATTCCCTCGGTCAGCACAGCTCGGGCCGCACTCAGTAAACCACAGGGGACAGACCTGGCCTCCAAATCCCACAGGCTCCTGTCGTCACCAGCATGTGACTGGGGCAAAGAGGAGCGAGCTCCCCAGCCGCAAAGGAAGCCAAGCCCTGACACAAACTCCAGGGAGAGCCGTGTTCGCGGCATCCTGAGGGGGAACTGGAACACCTCTGCCAGTGGAAGTCACGTGATAAAAGGTCCAGCGGCGATTCAGCAGCACGCCAGTTATCTGGCCACCCGGCCTCTTCAGGACAAAAGAGCTGCCTGAAAGCTGTCACAAAGTTCACGCGTTTCACCCAGAAGACGGCCCTCGGGGCCTCTCACCCACAGCCTGTGCATCCTCACTTTAACCACAATGACTCTGGCTTCTACATCTCCCCAGCCACTGCGCTCGCCAGGCCACGTGTACAGGAGGGGAGGATCTGGGAGTCAGGGGACTGTGAAGACCTCTGCCCCGCTCCCTGCTGGGCACGTCCTGCCCTGCTCCTTCCCCAAACACAGAGGTAACCAGAGACTCACAGATTCAGAGCTTGACAGGACTGAGTGCAATTCCCTCATTTTACAGATGGAGGAACTGAGGCCCCGTCCAGGGCCACACAGCTATGCTGCACTCGGACAGTATGCTCCTGCTATCCACAGGCTGGTCTTTCCAGCTGGCCGAGGCGCCAGAGCAGCCATATAATGGGCTGGGTAGGGCCAGGGGCACCTTCACATCTGCTGAGGCAGCACAGAAAGCAATCTGGCCCCAAACCCTGCTAACCTCCCACTCCAGGACCAGAGGGCAGAGAAGGAGCTGGGCTTTAGAGATGTTCTAGAACCGCTGCATCACGGTCCAGGTGAAGAGACACCCTCAGGGAGGGAAGGGAACTCCCTCAGGCCAACACAGGCAGTGAGATGGGGGATTCAAACCCAGGGCTCTTTCCACCATCCCACAGAGATTCATCCTCCACTGATGCCCTTGGGAAAACGAAGGCGGTAAATGAGATGTCCCGGCTCACTTGTCCCGAGACCCTTCCTCGGAGCCCAGACCTTACTAACTAGAGTTGTAGAAGAATTGGAAGCTGAGGAGTGGGTCTCCTGGTCAGCTCTTGTGGTGGCCCAGACAGTGGGAGAGACACAAAAACCCTACTCCACCAAGACTGCCGTCCCTTATTCCTCGAACACGTCTTGTAGATCTCTGCTTTACGCCCACCCTTCCACCAAATTAAGAACTCAACATCTGGGGGTCTTGGATCCTTTAGCAATCAGTTGGGTGAAGCCTATGAGTCACATTTCCAAATGCATAAAATACATGGGATCACCAAGGAAACCAATATCGAATTACTGTTATCAAGATATATTTTAAAAGCAAGTTCACAGATTCCAAGTCAAGGATTCCTGCCTTAAGTGAAATGACAAAAACAACTCATTCATTGTCTGTGATCCTCACAACATCCCTTGGAGAGAGGGAGGGGAAAACAGATGGGGGAAACTGAGGCTCTGAGAAATGAAGTAACTTGCCCAGGACCACCCAGTGATGGGATCAGAACTCAAACTCCAAGGATAGTTAGCACTCTCCACTTACTATTCCACAGTGGTTGGGGCAGCTAGGTGGCACAGTGGATAGAGCACTGGCCCTGGAGTCAGGAGGACCTGAATTCAAATCCAGCCTCAGACATATAACACTTACTAGCTGTGTGACTCTGGGCAAGTCACTTAACCCCAATTGCCTCACCAAGAAAAAAAAATCCTATTCCACAGTGGTCCCCAGAAGTCCACCATCTTGTCCTCCTTTCTGAATCCTTAAATCATTCTTCAGGGCCCAGGAAATTTATTCTAAAAAATTCTCCAGAGAGAAAACTGATGAATTCTGAGTCCAGACTCAAGCAGACTTTTTTCACTTTCTTCATGTTTCTTGCTCTGTGTGTGTGTGTGTGTGTGTGTGTGTGTGTGTTTACAACATGGCTAATACAGAATTATATTTACATGACTTCACGTATATAATCAATATGTTGCTTGCTTTCTCAATGGGTGGGAGGGTGAGAATTTAGAACTCAATTTTTTTAAAACAAAATGTTAAAAAATCTTTTAAAATGTAATTGGAAAATATTTAATGAAACAAATAAAAATATCATTTTAAAAAAGAAAAAAATCATTCTCATGAGTCAATATTCACCTGTCACAACTAAAAGCTTGGGCCTAATTAGGTAAAACTATGCTTGTCATTACATGTGTTCAGAGAGGAGTCACAGCATCAGAATGGGGAAATATCTTTTTGGACACAGAGATCTCCCAAGAGTCACAAAAAGTACCACCCATGAGGATGAAAGGCCAGCTTAGGCTAAGAGAAAAAACAGAGGGTCTTGTTAATGTCTCCTATCACCAGGAATCCTTTCTTCTATTTTACCTGGGGTATCTGTTTATGACAACCCTTGCTCCTTGTCAAAAATAGAGTTTGCTAAGTACACATGAATTATATGCACTTTTATACTCACTGGAGGGCTCCATTTGGAAGAGCTGTCACGAACGTGACAGCCGCCACTTGCACACGGCGTCACGCCTACCCTGACAAACGACGCTCATTCCCTGAACCACGACCAGGACTCCTGTCCTCACCAGTGGAGTGTTCTAAGCTCCTCAAGGCCAAGGGGCTGGTCCACCCCCGCACAGGGGTCCAGCACACAGTAGGAGCTTAATAGCTGCTCCCTTGATTTGAAATGGACATGACGATTACTTTTTGTGGTAAATGGTGACTTGTGAAACACTTTGTTTGAAGCTAAGGCAGATGGGCTGGGCTTCCAGCATGGAGTTGAAATAAAGTAAACCCAGACCCGGACGTTGGAATCTCTGCACAACAAGGTGTTAAACTAAGATTCTAAAAAACAAGGCAATCTATCCAACCACAACGCTCTCACTAAAAATATACTAGTAGGAAGTTTGGGTGAGTGCCACTAACACGGAAAATTTCCAATGTTTCCTTCTTCATCGCATCCTATTTTCATCTGTATTTTCGTATGTTTTACAATGTACGTAACATATTACTACAGTAGCACAGATATGTTATTCATAAATAAGCATGTATGTTTGTAAACAGCAGAAAAGCAGCCTAGCACAGTGGATCCAGAACTGGCACTGGAAACTGGAAGATCTGAGTTCGAATCCTGCCTCAGACCCCTAAATGGCTGTGTGACCCTGGACAAGTCCCTTCACTTCTCACTGGGCTAGACAATTCCCTACAATCAAAGGGACAGAGACAGTCTCCCAGAAATCCCCTATCTCAGTCAACTCGCAGGCCGAGCCCCATCCCTGCATACAAACATTAGGGCGCGCGCTTCCTTTTTTTCACTTGATAGGCATGTGGTCAGAAATGTGGGGACCACTGCCCCAACCCCCACACTGCCGCTTACCAGCAGCACGACAAGTCTCTTCCTCTTCCTTGCCTCAGTTTCCTCTTCTGTCACATGAGAGGGTCGGACAAGGGCCACACCACCACAAAAATTAATCTCTGCCTCCCCCGGGGGGACCTGCCTTTTCTTTAAACTACATCCCCATCAGTCTCCGTCCGAAAGCAGCTGATGGTTGACAGCGCCAGGCAGCAAACAGGCGGGAACACGTTTCAAAGCGCATTTAGGTTTGGAACAGAAATTTTCCACGACCGATACGAGAGCTCTCTGCTTCTAGACAGGAACCAGGTGGGATACAGGCTCATTCATCCAACCCTGTGCTGACGGAGGAAGCGTCTGCCTGGGGACAACATCAGTGTCCCTCCTCAGCTGGAGGAGCAGACTAGAAGGAGCTGGTGCTCCGAGGAGGGTCGCCACCTCTCTGGCCCTCAGTCTCCTTCTCTGTCAGAAAAGGAGTCTGCACTCCTAGTGGGTCCCTTCCAGCTCTCTAGTTCACCCTGGTGGACGTCCAAACAAGGCTGTTGTGGGCTGAACGTCTGCTGGGTTTCAAGTCCCAGGCTTGAACCCGGGACCAAAGCTGAGAGAGGGGCTGGTAATGAGCGAGATCAAGAGCTGGACTGCGAGCCAGGAAGACTTGGGTTAGAATCCTGCCTCTGATGCGTACTAGCTGTTTGACACAGCCTCCCTCAACCTCAGTGTTCTCATCTGTACAATGGGGATGACAGCCTAGGATCAATAAGGAATTCGTAAAATGCTTAGCACAGCGCCTGGTGCATAGTAGGCACTTAACAAATGCTGGTGGCCAATAATGGGAAACTGTGGGGACGTCCATCAGCTGGGGAATGGCTGAACAAGTTGCGGCCATTTGGTTGGAGGTGGCAGAAATCAGGGTTCAAATCGTGGCTCTGACACTCCCTAGCCGTATGCACGTCCATGCACAAGTCCCTAAACTTCCCTCAGTCTCCGTGTCCCCCTCTGTAAGAGGAGAACCCTCAGCAGCTGCCCTGTCCTGGGGTGCAGACCACGAGTCCTGGACTGTTTTCGTCTCACGGGCCCCTGGCTACGTGGGGAAGCCCGAGGCCCGCCGTGCCTGCTGCCAACACTGACAATTGCAACGCTAGGTTTCACTTGGAGGTTAATGAGAATCACACTTTCTCGCGTTCACAGACCCCCCCCCGAGGAGTTCACAGACCCCCCGAGGAGCCCACAGACCCCCGAGGACTACGCACCCTGATCTGAGCACGTCGTCGGCCCTCGCGTTCCCATAAACGTCGGCTGCTGCTAGAATGAGACGTGACGGCCAGGTGGCTCTTACCTTATTTCTGAAGCAGCAGGTATATGGCACCCCACACGCCAAGGGTCCGGGGGCGCTGCAGTCATGGTACTGGTTCATGGCCCAATCCTTGTAATCTTCCCCACCGCAGCACTTGAACTAAAAAGAAAGAAGAAAAGTCAGTGAGTGAGTGTGTGTGTGTGTGCGTGTGTGCGTGTGTGTCTCTGTCTGTGTGGAGGACGCACAGCAACAAAGGAATGCCCTCCATGTGCCCTCGGTCGAGGCAGCACACACCTCAAAGTGCCACCCTAAGCCCCTTCCACCAAAGGAGACTTGCTTGTTTTACAATTAGCCAAGGATGAAGAAAGCCATTTCTGACTTCACGGCTTAGGACCCGGGATCGGAGCTGACACCCGGCACAGGTATGCAGTGGAGCTCAATTTCCTGCCTCAGTGTCCCCATCTGTAAAACGAGAACTCGATCCTAGGGGAAGCAGGCAGGAGGGGGCTCTGCGCACAGCACAGGAATACGCCAGGCAGGAGGTGACCAGGACAGAAGGCACTGGGGAGGGTGAGCCTTGAGGAGCTATAGGGGTGACAAGAGCTATCCTCAAGATCCAGCCATGCCAATCTGTCATGAAGAAGAGGGATCCATTCTAGAACTAGGAGCTCTGGGCTGCAGCCCCGCAGGATCCACAGAAACGCTGGGCAGCGTGGGAAGCTGCCCAAAGAGAAACGGACCCTCCAATGCCAATGGGCCCCCCGTCCCTCTCTATCCCCGGGTAGACGGTTTTGGCTGTCATCGCCTTGAACCCAACCCCAAGAGAACCCTGGTCTGCCAGTGATGGCCGGCACCCTCTCTGTGCTGTGCAGCCTTGGGGAGCTGCCTAGAATCACGAGAGGCTGAGTGATTTGTTTAGGGTCCCACAGTTAGTGTGTGTGTGTCAGAGGTGGACTCAAACCCAGGTCTTCCTGGCTTCAGGGAAGACTGCCCACCATGCCACACTGCCTCTGGATAATAGTGGCATACACTGACAGATTTCTTCGGAGTTTACAGAGTGCTCTCCTCACAGCAGCTCTGAAATCTGGTAGGTAGTTACTAGAGAAAAAGAAAAATAAATAAAAGTAGTCCTACTCCTTGGAAAAACAAACTCCGGGACAGCCTCAGGGCCTGTTCTAATAGCGATCGAGTCTCTGGGCCAAGGGATCCTGCTCCGAAGCGTGGCCTGCCCCAGGAGACCCATCAGGAGTCTTCCAGGCAGGCCCTGCACCTGCTCAAAATCACAGGAGGGGGGCCAGGAGCTCCGGAATGAGGAGAGACAGAGGGGGTTGCGCTCAGGCAACACCTGGCGAGCGTGTGTCGGTTCAATCCATAATGAACCTCCTTCTCCGTCTTCCTTTCAACAGGAGATGCTCTGCAGCACTCGGCTGAGCGCCGCCAGGACAGGTCCATTGCCCAAAGGCCCTGAGTGAAAGCTCGCTCCAAGGAGCTGTTGTCTGGACTGAAGACGAACGGGTTCTCACGGTGAGGCCCCCAGCATCTGTTTGGCAGCTGGAGCCAAACAGCAAAGGATGGACAGGCAGAGGGAGAGCAGGGAGGTTGGACACCCTCCACCTAGGGAGGTGCTCGGGGCTCCAGGGATGCATTTCCTTCAAGACCCTGGCTGAGGGCCAAGAAACTACTCTTACCAGGGCTTGGGGTCTCCCAAAGGGGAGGGGGAGGCTGGAAAGAGAACCAGGTCGAGAAGAGCTTGGGTTTCTTTTGGAAGCTCCTCCCCCTCCTCAACTTCCCTTCTCTCTCCCTCCTGTCCAAGGCCCCCGGAGTGATGAGTATGTGGGCTGGGGGAGGGGGAGAGGAGAGCCCAGGAGGGGTCTTACAACGGGGAGTGGATATGGGAAGGTGAGTCAGACCAATCAAACCTTGACAATGCTATCACAGTCACGGCATTCCTGTGCCTGTGTACCTTAAGTGAAGCCACTCAAAGACTGGAGAACCCACTCCCACCACAGGACTCTGGTCCTAGGCCCCACTAAGTAACAACTCTCAAAGACTTGGAATGATACTGTTCCCACAGGACTCCAGAATACCTGTATTGTGGGGTTGTCATGGGAAATCACTCAGGCCCTGGGAAATGACTGTTTGTAATCCACCTTCCCCCTCCCTTCTCACTTGTGATTTATGTGTGTGCGTGTATGGATGTATGTACCGATAGATGTATATACATGCAGGTAGTATATAATCTCTGCCTACAGCAAGGTGGAATTCGGATCAGCAGAGTTCCCCATCTCCAAATCTGTTCGTCATAATGAAATTAATTAACTAAACCACTACTTGATTACTGGCACCTTGCGTCTAGCCCGCTCTATCTCATCATTCCCAGGTTAGAGGCTGGCTCAGTAAAATTCTGTTAACAACCTAATTACCGACACCCACAAGCAGGAGGGACTGCCCTGGGGGCGGTGGGATCCTCCTCCCTGGAGGTCTTTAAACACAGAAGGGATGGCCCCCACCCCCAGCTACGGTCTACAAGGTTCTCAGGGGAATTCTTGGTCAGGAATGAATAGAGCAAGAAGACCCTCACAGACCCTTCTGGCTCGGAGCTTCTGTGATCTGGTCAAGAGGACAGCCGTGACAGGCCGCCTCTGCCTGAGCCAGCTAGGAGGGGCGTCTGAGCATGGCTTGGCCACATAGCGGTCAGACAACAAGCATTTATTAAGCGCCTTCTATTTGACAGGCACCGGGGCAGTGCGTGGGCTACTCTCCCCAGCAGGTCCTTCTTAGTGAAGGGGGCTTTTCAAATGGTTTCACTGTACCCAGGCTGGGTCAGGCTTAATGAGAACATAGGGCCTGCCCTTGTGGTCACCAACACCTAGAGGCCACAAGACCATAAGATCTACGGCCAGGAGCCCATGTCTGAATCCAGGCCCCAACATTTAGCTCGACACGTGACCTTGTTCCTCGGAGCCTCAGTTTCCCCATCTGTACAACAAAGGCACAATCCCCGCACTAGCTACCTGAGGGCCTTTTGTGGGGAAAGTACTTTAAGACTTTAAAATCTGTTCTGGAGTTGCAGCGAACCTTCAGGCACTACACAACTGTCTATTATAATTACTGCTATAATTGCTGATGCCTCCACCCAGCCTGGCCAGTCCACAGCATCCCAGAATTTGGGGCTGGAAGGGGCCGTAGGGACTGTGCGGTCTGACTCTCATCTTTACAGGTGAAGAAGACCATGACCCAGGAAAGCCCCAAGGTAGCACAGACAGCCCAAGTCACAGTCAGGATTAGAATCCAGGTCTCCTGAGCATGAATCCCAAGCTGTTTCCTCACACATCATAACCTCCAGCAGAGAGCGTAGGGTCACGGCCGGAGGACTTGGTGGGAACCCCAGCCGTGCCTCTGACCCCCTGCACGGACCTGGATGAGTCACCTTGGGCGCCCGGGTTTTCTCATCTGTAAATGAAGATGTCAGACCTGATGCTCTCTGCGCCTTCTCTGCATCAGGGGTCCCATGACTGGGGCGGGGAGAGGATGAGAGACGTCTCCTCCCCCTCCCAGTGAACGTCAGCTCTAAGGGGCAGCATCTCACCTGCTCCTGGACAAAGTCCATGATGTTCTTGAAGTCCAGGTCGTCATAGTAATTCTTGATGCCTCTCCGGATGTTGTCGTTCAGGAACTCGATCGTCTGTTCAGAAAGCAGAAATTCAGAAAAGCCTGGGTCCGGGCCTTGCCCTGGCCAGTCCCGCCCGCCAGGTGAAAGCACGGGTTAGCATCACCCCTCCTCCCTGCACTTTCCAAAGAGCTTCTCCCCCGGGCCTCGGGGCGGCTGGGGGAGGAAGGGGGGCAGGAACCGCCACCCTCACTTTGTGAATTAGGAAATAGGCCACTGGAGAAGGGGCGCCAGGCTGGCCGAGTGGCACAGGAAGCCAGATTTCCTGGCTGAGCAACACCTGGCCATGCCCCATGGGCCTGTGCTATCTCTGCGCCTCAGCCCAAGGGCGCACGTGTAGAATGCCCTTCACACGTGGCTGGCTGGCCTGCCTGCTGAGATTCTACCCATCCTTCCAAGCCAAGGCCACCTCCTGCACGAAGCCTGCTCTGATTTCCCTACCAAAAGTCTAGTGCTTATTCCACTGCACCAAAGAGATGCCAGCAACATTTGGGGTGATCTAGGTGGATCAAGTATCACAGACGCCCAACTGAAAGAGTTTTTCCAGATGAGAATAACAATTCACAATTGTTCAGCATTTTAAAATTTACTAGTTACTTTGTGTTATCCCCATTTTATAGATGAGGAAAGCAAGGCTCAGAAAGGGGAGGTTGGCTTATTGGATCTGAGGCTTTAGAAACTGACCCTGAGCCAGAAAGGACCTGACGGGTCAGCTTATCCAATGCTTCACTTTATAGATCAGGAAACTGGGGCCCATCAAGGGGAAGTGACTTGTCCAAGGTCACCGTGGTAGCTACCCAGGAAGGACCTGAACCCAGGTCTGATGGCTGAAAGAGCCAGCCCTCTCCCCACCACATCGCCCTGCCTCTCCTGATCTCCTCCTGGTTGGGGGAGGGTGACTCCCCAAAGAAGAATGCCGTCTGGCTCGTGTCCCACACCGAGTCACGCCTGCTGTCTGCCCTCACAGCCCATCTGCTGTGTTAGAGCTATCTGGCCACACAAAGGGCTTCACAGCAGCAGTAGGTGGGCGATGCCCCAAAGATGGGCAGGCGACTCTGCCCACCCTGGTACAATGCGAGCTTTCAGGCTGCAGAGGACTATCGGGGACAGCCGAGACTCGGCCCAACAAGGGACCTTCTCATCTCTGTCAAGAAAAGCCAGACAGAAAAGCAGGGGGCGAAGGCCAGATGTGGGCCCCTCCCCCAGAGCAAGGCCAAGTTTGGCCATCCCCTCCAGCCAGCCGTGCAGCAGCACCTCCCCCGAGGTGCTCTGGGTCCTGGGTTCTACTCGGGCATTCCCCTCCTGGGCCACACTGCCTTCCCCTGGGATAGGGACATTCTGCTCTCCATATACGTCCTCTCATCTAAGAGAAATGCTCTTTAAGGAGAAGTAGCCTGGAAACAGAGCTCAAGAAAGACCTGGGTGCAAATCCTGCCTCTTACACACAGTAGGTGTATGACTCCAGGCAAGCCCCTCGGCCTCTCTCAGTGCCTGGCACACAGTAGACTCTTAATAAAAGCACTTAGAATAGACTGAATTACTGTAGGCAACTCTCTAAGACAAGGGTTCTTAACCTGGGGTCCACGAACTTGATTTTTTAATATTTTGACAACCATATTTCAATGTAATTTTTAATCCTAGGCATTTTAATTTAAGCATTTAAGTCCCCTGAAAAGGGTCCATCAGTTCACCACATGGCCAAAGGGATCCCGGGCACAAACAAGGTGAGGAACCCCTGCTCTAAGATGATAAATTGCACAGAAGGTACCAGCCTGTGCTGGTGGAGGGGATTTCCTGCTCTGGGAGGCCCCTGTCCCTACTCTTTATGTATTACACAAACTGAAAGTCACAGTGTCCCTTTAAGCTTCAGTACTTTGGGGACACCCAGCACGTTTGCTGAATTGAAGCAGCCGGCTGGGTCACAGAGGCAGTAAATAGATGCTCCTGGCTTAGCACTCTGGTCCTCAGGGCTCCAAACCCTGGGGTCCTCCCCTGTACCACATTAGTGCTCGGCTCTCAACAGCACACAGGGAGGAACCCAACAGACCTTCCTCTTGTCCTCTGCCTAACCTTGCTCCAGAGTTGAGGGGAGCGAACCACGAACATCACAGGGCCCCTGCTTCTCCAGTAAACACAGCTGCTGCTCAAGTAACTTCAGTGGGCCCTCCCTGGGTAAGGGCCATGCCCAGCAACTCACTCGGGCAATTGCTGAGACAGAAAACTCTCACCATCTGCAAGGAGCCAGGGCATCTGCCTGAACTGGTCTCTAAGGCAGGCTAGATGTAGGATGAGGGAAAAATTCACAAACTGCCCAGGAGGGTGAGCTTTGACCACCAAACACAGGCGAGCCAGCTCTCAAGCTTGACCTCAGACCACTCTCTACTGCCCACTCCTCCAATGTCCCAAACCCCTGCTCGGGTGACCAGGAACCACTGAGAATCACTCATTAAGCTAAGCAGGCAGGGCAATGTCCAGGCCCCTGCTCCTTCCCCCATCAATCCCAAGCGGGCACCAGGGCATCCGAGTATTTCCAAGAGCAAACACACAGCTTGAAACCCAACTAAAGAGCACGATGATGATGGCCCAGACCAGGTGGGAGTGAGAGGTGGGGTGAGGGAGGAAAGCCAGCCTGCCCTACCCCCAGAAAGGGAGAGAGAGGAGCTATCTTAGATACGCACCTTGTCTTCTGTGGATTGATTAACTGATTCAAGAGATATGTCACACCAAAAAAAAAATTTTAAAAAGGGGGCAGCCAAGTGGTGCAGTGGATAGAGCACTGACCCTGGAGTCAGGAGGACCTGAGTTCAAATCCTGCCTCAGACACATAACACTCACTAGCTGTGTGACTCTGGGCAAGTCACTTAACACCAATTGCCTCACTAAAAAAAAAAAAAAGAAAGAAAGAAAGGTACGTCTGCAATTCTGTGATTACATGAATTGGGAGTGGGACTAGAAGCCTCCCCCCCCACAAATGGAGGAGATCAGAAATGATTAAGCATAATTAATGTGCAGAAACATGACAGTTGGAAGGGCCCTTAGAACATGGCTCAGCTGCAGGACTTAGAACGTGGAGTGTTAGGACTGGAAAAGGCATTAGAACATGGAACACAAATGTCAGAACTTGAACATCACGGCTACATGTGCTGGGCAGAACAGTTGAGTGAACAGGGAAGTCAGGAAGAGAAAAGGGACATCAGGCGAAGCAGAACAGAGCCATGGACCAGTGTGCCCTGAAGCCAAAGGGGCCCGGCTGGAGCCTGGGAAGCTGGGTGACCTCAGCCCTCACACCCACGGCAGCATCTGCAGGAAACAAATCATTAAGCGATGACTTCAGGCTCCGCTGTCACCCGATGGGAGGGGGCCAGACCAGAGAGGAAGACACAGACACCCAGGCCTCCCACGCTAAGGAAGATGGCCCCAGGGAGCGGGGGGCTCACAGTAAGGACGACTCAAAGGGCAGATGGAGCTGTGGCCTTTCAGGCAAGAGAAAAGGGGAGCTGAGTCCAGGGCCGGCTACGTGATCTCTCTAGGCCTCACTGTCCTTAGGGTGGCTCTAAGGGCTCTTCTGATTGTCCATCTAGGCAGCTAGGTGGTGCCATAGTGCCCAGAGTGCTGGGCCTGGAGTCAAATGTGCCCTCAAGCACTTACTAGCTGTGTGCCCTGGGTAAGTCATTTAACTTCTGTCAGCCCCAGCTTCCTAATACATAAAATATGGAAGTCTCTGAGGCCTTTTCTGGCTCTACATCCATGATCACGTTACTTACTCAATTATTTAATAAACATTCACTAAGAGCCTGTTGAGTGTACAGGTTACCACGCCTGGCACTGGAGTAGATATAGTTTAGACAAGCTGGTCCCTGTCCTCAGGGGGCACACAGCTTGGCAGAAAAATTGAGTATAAAAGGCTTTCCTCACAAATGCCCTTGCAGGCAGGACAAGCATTAATTTGCCTAATTTGCAAACAGGGAAACAACATGTACAACGCATAGGCACCTACAAAATAAACACAAAGTGACTTGGCAGGGAGAACACAATAGCTGGGAGTACCGACACCCAGTCAGTCAACAAGCACGTACTAAACACACGCTGTAGGCCAAGCATCGTGCTAAGTGCCAGGGAAGCAAGGGGAGGCAAAGACAGTACCTGCCCTCAGCGAGCTGACATTCAAGCAGAGACGATGGAGCAAACAAAGCTCATCCTGTACAGGATACGATACAGATGTCAGCTGGAGCCCCAAGTGTCCATCTCGTCTACAAGAACAGCATGGACAAAAATGGAAAAAATCCTGCTGCAACGTAGGCCGCCCAGGGTGATAGCATTCTTCTGTTCTACCAGTGGAATAACACTATCCAAGAAGAAAATGAGGTCGGTGTGGCCCGACCTATTCCAGGAAGCCAGGCTGGCTCCTAGTGATCACTGCTTCCCTTTCTGTATGTACACTAACCACCCCTCTAAAAGTGTGCTCTAGAATCTTACCAGGAATCAAAGTCAAGCCTGTAGTTTACTGTCTGTCATTCTCTTCTCTCTTAAATTGGGATGATTCTTTTCAGGGTAGCTAGGTGGCGCCATAGTGCACAGAGCACTGGACTTGAAGTCAAAAAGACTCATCTTCTTAAGTTCAAATCCAGCCTCAAAGACTGACTGGCTCTGTGACCCTGGGCAAGTCACTTCACTCTCATCTGTAAAATGAACTGGAGAAGGAAATGACAAACCACTGCAGTATCTTTGCCAAGAAAATCCCAGACAGGGTCACAAAGAATCAGACACAACTGAAAAACAACTAAATAACACTTTTCCTTTTGCCAATCCTTCAAATTCTCCACAATCTTTCAAACATCACTGACATTGATGCCGTGTCTGCCAATTCAGAGGATTACAGAACTAGAGCAAGAAAGGACCTTCTCTCCCAACACACTCGTTTAAGAGAGAAGGAAACTAAGGTACAAAGAGTTGAAGTAATTCAGCCAGGGTTACATAGGCAGAAAGTAACAGGCAGGATTTGAACTCAGGTTCTCTGCACCCAGAACCAGGCCTCTTTCCAAGGTGTCATCTAGTCTCTCAGGACATAGATCAAACAGGTCTAGCAACCTGAACTCATTAAAAGTTAGGTATCCCCTTCCCATAACTAGTACCAAGAGGACAATGGGAGCGTAAACGGAGCTGGGAATTCCGGAGACAGAACCCCAAGGGTCCTCCTTGACTGGACGGACACATCAGCCCAGAGGAAGCCAGGAGAAAAGAGTTATCTCACCCTCTGGGTAAAACAAAGGCAGGAAGGAAGTGATCTGGGGAGGAAGGCCAGAGAGCCCAACTCCAACCTGCATTTACAGAGACCTTGGCCTGCAGCTGTGCTGGCATCTGGAGCACTAAGAGATCCCCAAGCCCCCTCCACGGTCTTGATTCACAGGAAGAGGGGAAGGTAGGGAGGAAAGGAAGGAGCCATCAATTGCCCAAAGAGCTGGCTCCCCGCAGCCCAGGGGGGAGCCATGGGAAACCCAGGGCCACAGGGGTGGCCGCACATCTGGACATGGCCGGCGTTGCCTCTGGCCAGCTCCCCAAGGCCAGCCTCTCCTCCATCCCCGCTGACATCAAAAACGCTTCTTCCTCTCCTTTCACCCAAGAAGCAGGGCTCTGGAAGGAACATGTAAGTGGGAGTCACCAGCTTGGGCCTCTAGACCGGGCTCTATCATTTATATGTGACTGTGCCAATGACCCTCTCTGAGCCTCAGTTTCCTCATCTATAAAACCGGGAGTAAGGTTCCTGCCCCACTTATCTCACAGGGCTGGTGTAAGGGATGGGAAAATGCCCTTTATGTGTGAGGCGCCATTCCTACAAAGAAGGTTTTAAATTAGTGGGACAACTCAAGTTTCAATTCAATTCAACAAATACTTATGAAATGCCTCCAAAGTAGCAGGCACTGTGTGAGGTGCTGGGAATACAAAGGCAAAAGTAACAATATTCTCCGCCCTCAAGGGGCTTGCGTTCTACCCAGAGGACGCCTGACCCTGTGAGACACCAAGGTACAGAGAACGGGTATTGGCCTTGGTGAGAGAAGCGCTGGGTTCTAATCGCCACCTCTCCAGGGCTGAGCAGGAAGTCACCTCCCTGAGGTTCCTCATCTGTAAAGTGGGAGGGTCCCTTCCAGCTCCAGACCCATGACGCTGTCAGAACTTGCTCCAAATCATAGGGATCAGAGGATCACAGGGCTCGAGCCGAAAAGATCCGGAGAGATTTCACAGATGAGGAAACTGAGACCCGGAGAACAAAGGAATTTGCCCAAAAGCAGAATTAGTTAGTAAGTGTCTGAGGCAGGATCTGAATTCAGATCTTCCTGACTCCCAAGTCCCACAGCCTAACCATTGCATCACCTAGCATCCTCACTGGGGGAGAAATGTAAAATAAAACTGGCAAAGTAGGAGGGAGCCAGAAAAAGGCCAGGCAGAGTCACCTCCAACCGCCTGGAAGAAATCCCTACCAAAACCCTTCGTAGGGAGACCAGCTCGGTGTGAATCGGCAGTGTGATGGGGCAGCCAAACATCTGACGCCATCTCAGGCTGCACTGTGAGGCCTGGTCTCCAAACTAAGGGGGACAATGGTCCCGCTGTCCTCTGTCCCCATCTGGAGCACAGAGCCCAAGGGCAAAGGAGGGCCAGGCCAGAGAAGAGAAGCCCAGGGGGATCTTGGGGGGCTATCTTTAAGGTCAGGCCCTGCCATGGAGAAGAGGGATGGGAATCAGGAGTGTTCAGCTCAGTCCCAAGGGGCAGACCCAGCACCGACGGGTGGGAATTCCAGGCGATGAGATTTGAAAAACTTCCTAACTGCAAGAACTATCCCATGGTATAAAGCACTGCTTCAGGAAGGTAGTGAGCTCCCCATCACTAGAGGGCTTGGAGCTCAGGCCGGATGACAATTTGTTAGGGATGCTCTGGAGAGAATTCGTGCTCAGGTGTTGGTTAGGCTGCAATACCGGAGACCACAATGCTGGATTTCACTATACCATAGTAACAACAGCAGCAATAATAATAACAGTTACATGCATATAGCACTTACAATATCATCTCATTTGGTCTTCACAACAACCCTGAGAGGCAGGTACTATTGTGACTTCCATCTTACAGTTGAGGAAACTGAGGCAGACAGAGGGTAGGTGACTTGCTGAGGGTCACAGAGCTAGGAAGTGTCTGAGGCCAGATTTGAACTCAGATCCTCCTGGCTCCAGGCCTGGTGCTCTGTGTACTGTTTCCTAGCTGCTCCCTATATAACTAACAAATCCATGCTGATCCAGGCATTTGCTGGTCCTAATCACACTGATTAGCAGGTCTCTCAATGGCAGGATTGAAGGGCGGATGAGGTGCTGTGAATGGCCTTCCCAGGGCCAGGCTGGCTACTCTGGGGATGACATATTCTCCAGCAGCCGTTGCCTGTGATTCCCAAAGGGCAGCCTCCTGGCTGGGCTCCTGCCAGTGGACAGAAGCCCTTGGGGGCCTGGGGGGCAGGCGGGATCCCAATTGTGAGAAGCTGCCCTCCAGGCAGCAAAACAAGAACACTCCCCCCTGCGGAGCTAAGCATGTGCCTGGCCACACAGCCATGAAGAAATCCCACTGGAGCCTGGCCTTCCACCGCAGTCATAGGAGGCCACTGTCGGGCCTGAGGTACCTGTATCTTGGGGACGGGGACAAGCAAGCGTTTCCAGACAGACTGGCCTCCCCCTGGGGCCTAAGAGTGAGCCAACTTCCCCTGAAGCCCCACCTGCCTCCCCAGGTGCCAAGAGGCCCCCCCCAGATCTCAGATGGACTCCTCTGCGTGGTAGTCCCAAGGGTGGGCAGGCTTCAATTCAGACTCACATAAGCCAGAAAGGACCTAAGAGAAGGTCTATTCCAGGGGAGGTTTAACCCTTTTCGTGTCCTGGACCGCTGTGGCAGTGTCTACTGAAGCCTACGGCCCCCAGCTCAGAGCTCCCCAGTGAGCCTCCCCTGCCTCCAGGCCTGGTGAGACCCAAAGAGCAATGACGGCCAGCTCTGCCAGGATTCCTCCTGTGGGTTAGCCAGGAACCCTACCCCTTTCCCTTTCTCCTCCCATCCCAAGGAAAGGGGTTGCTCTTCCTGCCAACACAAACGAATTCCAATTCTCCCCGCAGCCAGGCCTTCCTCCTTTCCCCTGGGTTTCAATTACCTAACTTAACTAAAAAGCTGATTTTATCAAGCACGCCTGAGTCTGTCCTTGGATGAGATTCAGGCGATGTTCAGATTTTGGAGACAGATGGATGGTGAATGAGATGCTACGGCCCTGGGGTCAAAGCTGGGGGAGGGGGGAATAGAAGGAGGAGGAGGGGGAGGGGTGGGGGGGGAGGAAGAAGAGAAAGCCTTCTTAGCAAGAATACTTTTTTCTCCCAGATTTCCTCCCTCGGCCAGGGCCCCCTCCCTCTCCACCTTTATCTTCTCTTTCTTCAGACCAGTCCACTTCCGTGCTGGGGGACTGAACAGCCCAAGCAGTCCAAATAGGGGAGAGCAGAGGGCTGGCCACAGGGAGCCTTTTGTCATTGGTGACTCAGTGTCAGGGAGACCCGAGGGGTGGGAGTGAGTGGGCTCCCCATCCTTTCCCTTCCACCCTGAGAAAAGAGAGGGCAAGCACTGGCCCAGCCACGGTCCAGCGCTCTGTCCACCTGAATCCCATGACACGAGAGGCCACGTAAGACAAAGGTGAGAGCTGGGCTTGTGTCCCGGCACTGAGTTAGCAGCTGGGGGACCCTGAGCCATACATGGGCTGGAAGGGACCTCCTCATTTTACAGATGAGGAAACTGAAGCACGGGGGCTAAGGTTGGACAGGGGAGTAAGAGGAAAATTCACAGGACTCCTGTTTTGGCGTTTCTTCATATCTGATGGCCTGATTGAATCACAGATCTGACAGCTAGTGGCCAGTTTCCTGAGCTCTCCAGATCCAGTGAATGCCCACTGCCCCACACTGCCTCCTGCTTCACTCAATTCCATTCAATAAACACGGATTCAGGGCTTCCTGTACTTGGCATTGCAGAGGACAGTGCCTGCCCTCAAGGAGCTTACATTAGTTGCACAAACCCACCCACCAGTCCCTCCAGGCTCCATTCACGGCCAGGTCCCAACAAATGGATGACGTGCCTCTAGCAGAGGCCAACCGGCAAGAGGGTCTTCATAAAATTTCTGCTTTGGCTGCGGCCTTGCTCTCTTCTCCATCCGAAGGGGGTGTGTTTAAAAGCCTCAGTCTCTTCATCTGCAAGATGGGGCCAATGATTCCTACAACCCCCCCCTCGCCCCAGGGGCTCCCATATCACCCAGCGGTGAGTGCTTAATAGATACTTACTGACTGACTCACTGATCATAAACCACAAACCACTATAACATGGGACTCCCTACTATTAGTAAAAGTAGTACAGACCTAGAATTAAATAGCGAGAAAAGACTGGGTTGGATCCCACTTGGTAAACTGGTTGGCAATTTCAACAAAACCGCGAGACAAAACTCAATATTATTATTAGAGACCAGACGTGAGAGTCATGAGGCTTCAGCGACGCGCTTCTTATCATTATTACTGTGCATCACCATCATCGTTAACAGCAATGTCACTAATAATGATAATAACAGCAGAGAATGATGATGGTGGTGGTGGCGGCGGTCACGATAACAACCAATAAGCACAGAGGTCAGCCCGACAGCCTCTAAGGTCTCTCCCAGCTCTAAGTCTCTGCTGCTGTGATCTGTGATCGTATTAATAAGTTAATTAATTAAATTAATAATAACAAATCACACGCTTGGGTGACTCGGGTGAGCAAGGACCCTGGAGGAAGGCACAGAAAGCAAAGGGAAAGGACACCAGATGGGCTCTTGTTACCCAGTCGCTTTTCCGGGCCTCAGTTTCCCTCCTTTCCAGGACTCTGCACACGGTCCACTAACAACGCTGAGTCAGAATTCCTCCTGTCCTCCGCTCACCTGGTTCCTGAAGATTAAGGCCACCACGCCCCCGATGAGCTCGATGATGAGGCAGATCCCCAGGATGTACATGAACTGCGGGATGGAACACAACAGTCACTTAGAGACGGAGGCCCACCGACACTGCCACTCCCAAGCCCATTTTACAGGTGAGGGAACTGAGGCTCCAGAGCAGAAGCCGATTACTTAGGGCTCCATCCGACTCCAGGGCCGGTGTTCCCTCTGCTGCACAGGGCAGCTAGGTGGCGCCATGGTGCACAGAGCCCTGGGCCTGGAGTCAGTCAGGAAGACCCGAGTTCAAGTATGACCTCAGACACTTAACCAGCTATGTGACCCTGGGCAAGTCACTTAACCTCTGCCTCAATTTCCTCACCTGTAAAGTGGAAAAAAGAATCGCACCAATCTTCCAGGGTTTTGTTATAAGAATCAAATGAGCTAACATTTGTAAAGCACTTTATAATCCTCAAAGAGCTAAATAAATGCTCATTGGAATTGTGTTATGATGATGATGATGGAATGGAATAGAATCACTCATAAAAGATGCCAAGAGAGGCTTCATGGCATAGCTAGCAGAGAGCTGTCCCTGCAGTCTCTTATGAGAAAGAGAAAAGAAGGCAGCAGAGAAGCCTTCCACACTACTATGCTGTAAAAAATGTAGTAAGAGCTTATGGTTTTGCATGGAGCAACTAGGAACTCCTGAGTTTAAATCCTGCCAGAGATACTTAGTAGCCGTGTGACCCTGGACAAGTCACTTAACCTCTCCCTGCCTCCGTTTCCTCATCTGTAAGACGGGGATAAAAACACCTGCCGGGGCTATCAGATGAGATAACAAGGCTTTGAAGGCTCTGAAAACCTTGGGTGGTACACGTAAATCCTAGCTCTCGTTATTATAACGTATGAGGCGCATGCCCTCCTCACTGGATTCCTGACTTCTTTCAAGATTCTGCAGGAGGCATTTCCCCACCCCTCCAGGAGCTGGGAGGGCCACGCACCTTCCAGCTACTTTGTATCGATCTTGTGTCTGCCCGGTTATTCACCTGCGTCCCTGCCGGAGGAATGACTGAGTGACCATGGCCTGGTGGGTGCCGCCCTCCCACATCTGTGATGCACGGCCCTGCCCCTGAGGACAGAGGGCAAGACAGACCCAGACTAGGTGGAAGCAGGGGCTGAAGCCAACAGGCAGGGCCGGCTCACCGCTTGGAGGAGACAGATGTTGTCCCGGAGGGAAGCCAAGACCCCCACGAAGGAGACAATGAACATGACCACCCCGAGGAGGATGAGGATGATGGCGGGCGCCAGGAAGGCACTTTCGAGGGTTTTGTATTTCTGGCGCTCCACTTCTGCGTAGATCCCCACGGAGAGGATTAAGGCACCTATAAACTGCAAGAGGAGAAAGCAAATGTTATTTTCTTTTCCCCCATCATAAAAATGGGGGAGAAAACACAAAACTACACATTGGTCTCTACTGTGGCTAGGAGGACGAGATCTACTAGACAGAGATGGGAACTGGACCTGTGATGCCACTGCTACGGGAACTCCCAAGTGAGGAAACTCCCTCCACCCACAAGCGGCAGCCCTCTCTCTGACTATGTCTTAGAGATCTGCCTAGCACACCGAGGGGTTAAGGGACGGCGTCTATGTGTCAGAGATGACACTCGAACCCAGGGCTTCCGGCTCTCGACCCACCAGGCCATGCTGCCCCTCATCAATAGGATAAATATTTCACATAAATAAGCAAAGCACTTATATGTTCTAGGCAACAAGACAAGGGCAGGGAAGAAAAAGAAAAGGCAGAAATGATTTCTACTCTCAAGAAACTTAATTCTAATGGAGGAGACAACATCTATTTAAGCAGTTCATACAGAGTAGATGGAAGAGGAGAAGGACAGTGAGAGGGAAATACTGCAGGAAGTGGGGTGAGCTGAAGCTCTCTACACAGGGCTGGAACCAGCCGCAGGGAGCCTCCTAGAGACACCTAGAAACCGGGAGACTTCCCGGATTGACCCAGCCACAGGGATACTCTTGGACATACTGGCAAGCCCAGTGCTTCCCTTGGCATACCTAGAACCAGACACAAAGAAAGAGGCAGCTAGGCGGTGGAGTGGGTCGGTAGAGCTGGAGACTTGGGTCAGGAAGAACTGAGATCAAATCCTCCCTCAGACACTCACTAGCTGTGTTAATCTGGGAAAGTCACCTCTCCTTACCAGGCTCCATTTCCTCATCTGTAGAATGAGGGAGTTGGCCTTCATGCTCTCCAAGGTCCCTTCCAGCTCTAAATATGTGTTCCTAAATTTACCTTGACCCCCATACCTTCCCTTGATACAGTCCCTAGAGATAGCTTGATGGTCAAAAACCACTAAGTTCTAGACAGGTCTTCCTTGATATACCTAGAAAACTGGAGAGTCCTACGATAGACCTAGAATCAACCACAGAACATTCCTAGAAACACCTAGAACCTCAGAAATTCCTTTTGATATGGCTGAAACTAGGAACAAAGACAGGTCTAGATATATCTGGAACCCTGAAGACTGCTTTGATATACTCAGAAGCCGTGTTGTTGTTTTTTTTCCCCATCTGATCCCTGCCTAATTAATGCCTGGTGATAGGGGCCACTCACTCTTCCACATGTGATCTTTCTGCTCAGTTTCCACCAAAAAGTCCACCTAGAGGCCCAAAGAGTCCCTTTGTAGATAATCCTTCTCCAGGGCAGGTAGCAACACACAGGCTTGTTGACCTTAATAGGCTGTTTGATTTAATAGGCCACCCCCCCCTTAGCTACACAGAGTTGGAAGCTGCCCACTAGATGAAGAGTCAGACAGGCAGGGTAGTCAAGCCAACCAAAGATTTAGGTAAACATTTTGAAAAGAAAAGTACACAATTTGCCAACGATAGGCCATAACACAAGCAGACTCAAAAATAGCCTGGGGCCCCAGGGATTTCTTTTTACTGCCTCTTCCCTGCCTCCAGGCACGGCCATGGATGGTGGCTCCAAACAAGAAAGCTATTTCCATAAAACAAGAAGACCTTCAGTGCTAAGAGTCCTCGGGTTAGATGATGATAACTAACCTTCATATAGTGCTTAACTATGTGCCAGGCACTGCAGAAGCACCTTACAATGATGATCTCATTTGATCTTCACAACAACCCTGGGAGGTGAGTGCTATTATCACCCCCATTTTACAGACAGATGTTAAGTGACTTGCCCAGGGACACACAGCTAGTAAGTGTCTGAGGCCAGATTTGAACTCAGGTGTTCCTTACTCCAGACCAGGCACTCTATCCACTGCACCACCTAGCAACACTCAAGGACCACAAGCTGTAGAGCAGTTTTTGCCAAATCTTGAGCTCTTATCCCTGAAGCTGGAGTCTTTGGGTTTATAGTCATTGATTAGGAGATTACTATAGTCACTGACTACTGTGTCTTGTGTACCTAACCTATTCCACTGACCCACCACTCTATTTCTTAGCCAGTACCAAGTCGTTTTGATGACTGCTGCTTTATAATACAATTTAAGGTCTGGTATGACTAGGCCACCAACCCCAGCATTTCTTTTCATTAATTCCCTTGATATTCTGGACCTTTTGTTCTTCCAGATGAAGTTTATTATTTTTTCTAGCTCTATAAAATAATTTGTTGGTAGTTTGATTGGTATGGCACTGAATAAGTAATTTAATTTAGGTAGAATTGTCATTTTTATTTTATTAGCTCAGCCTACCCACAAGCAACTGATATTTTTCCAATTCTTAGATCTGACTTTATTTGTGTGAAGTGTTTCGTAATTGTGTTCATACGTTGATCAGTTTGTTAACTGTCTAGGGCAGCAGGTTGCAGCCTATCACAGGGCATCCTTGGCCGACCCTGCCACCTCCAGGAAACTGAGCACTAGGAAGACCAGAGAGAGCTCTGGGGACTGCATCTGCTGGTGGGCTGAACCCTGCAGTGTCCCACCCACGTCAACTACAGATGGACCAACGGAACTGACTGAAAGCTACCAAGTGTGCTGACAGCCACAAACCCAGGAGCCTCCTTGAGCCCTCCAGAAGCAAAAAAAAAAATCACTAAGGATGTGAACAAGCCCTTATGAAGGGCCTACTATGTGCCAGGCACAGTGCTGGGTGTCCAAAATGAAATAGTGCCTGCCCTCAAGTAGCTTACCTTCTATCAGCTGAAAATAACTTGAAGGCACATAAGTAAATACAAAACACATGCAGGAAACATAGTAAATCAGGAGAGGAGGGGAAGGAAGGTCAGGAGAGGCCTCAGACATTTGAGATGGACTTTGTAGGAAGCTCGAGAGGTGAGGAAGGAGTATATGCTGGGTCTGGCCCCCAGACAACCCAAGAGCCAAGCTCCCACGTTCCCAGTTCCCAGTCCCCTGCACGGGAAGGCCCAAATCCCACTATTCTCTTGCAGAATGAGACTTCGGTTGTTACAAAGAGATCCTACCCCATGGGGCCGGCCCCATGTCCTCAGTCTCTTCAGGAACTGGTCACTAGGCCCAACAGCCCTGTCCTCAGGAAGTCTGCTACTTCCTTTGGTCTAATCTGGTGGTCTTTTGTTGGAATTTAATCCTTTTCTCTTCCTCAGCAGGGATGCAAAAATATTCAGGAAATACTGTGGACACCACAGAGTTGATGGGGAAGGTGCAAATATGCAATGCTTCTAGTCCTTTCTAGGAGAAACAAAAAACATGAAATCCCTCCTTTCTAAGTGTCCCTTAAAAACTCAGTCTTTTTGGCTCGGGGGGGGCGGGGGGGGGGGGGGGTGGGTTTGCTCTGGCCTGGAGATTTCATCAATGTGGGGAAATCCCAGAGCCCCAAAGACACTCTCTCTAAGGAGGCAAATCAGCAACTCCTTTAGAATGTATGGTCTAGAGTAGCTGCTCCAGGGCACTGAGGGGTTGAGTGATTTGCTTAGAAAATACTCATTTTAGCTTTTTTTAAAAAAATGTGAAAATGCAGAAAAGTAAAAAAGTCTAGAAACAATTTTTTTGGCTTTTTTTTGGTGGGGGGAGGCACCAAAAAGTCCTAAAAACAAAACAAAATAAAAACTCAATTTCTTCCCAGTATTCTTCCCTCAGGCCTTCAATTTGGTGTAATGGAAAGAACATTAGACACAAGAAAGACAACTGGGGTTCCGGCTCTGCTCCATCATTTCCCTGAAGCATTACCTAGACCTTTCTAAGATTCAGTTTTCTCATCTGTAAAAGGAGGGGGTTGAACGTGATCCCTAAGGAAGGAACCTTCCAGCTCTGACATTTGATGATTCACATCTCTACTAGACAACCAAAACCCCAACCAAAGCAAGGTAGACAGATGGTCTGCCTTGTACAGTCAGTCAGTCAGTGCAGTGACCATGAGCTCCACCGGAGTCACTCAGACAATTTCCTGCTGGACCAGAAGACAATCCCCAGAAGTTCCCACATCTATTTAAGTAACAATGTCAGTCCTGGGGCCACGTGGTCACGATCCCTGTCCTAGGGGCAACAGATCAGTCAGACTTAAAGGCCAAGAACACAGAGCTCTGGTGCCCACTGACACTCCTCGGGGAAATTAGGAGAGGTGGGCAGCCACTGTGTTTGCAAGGACAACAGCAGCGGTAATAACAGCTAGCATAGCAAAGCTCTCTTTATGTATTACCTCATTTGATCCTCACAATAAACCGTGAAAGGTAGGGGCTATGATTATATCCCCATTTTATAGAGAAGGAAACTGAGGCAAACAAGTGACGTGGCTCACCCACTGTCACAGGGCTAGTAATTGTTTCAGGTCTCCATAACCCCAAGTACAGTATTTATTCTTATCTCCTACACCCCCCCAGCTACTCACAGTTATATAGAGCTTTGCATTCATTATCTCATTTTATTTCCGTAATGACCCTGTGAAGTAGGTGATAGTTATCACAGATGAGGAAACTAAGGTCACATCACTAGCATTTGAGGCTGGTTTTGAACCCAGGTCCAGCTGACTCCCAGTCCATTATAACACAGCACATGTCCTAACCCCTTATAACAAACCAGCTAGAACAGAGACCCCCAGTTTAAGAAGCGCTGAAGGGGTCTCAAGTGGAAAAAGTTTAAGAAGTCCTGAGCTAAAGGGCAGCCCTACCTTCCACACCATGATGGAAAGTTTCACCCAATATGCCTCAGCTGAGCTATATGGAAAAGGTAGAATGCAAAATATTCTCCTGCTCACATTAGCTTCATTTTAAGATGTGAAAACTCAGAAAAGCAGCAGAAAGTTCAGAAATAATTTTGTTGACTTGGGGGGGAACAGGATGGGGTTTAGCTGAGTGAGTGTATATAAGTGTGTGTGTGTGTGTGTGTGTGTGTGTGTGTGTGTGTGTGTGAGTGTCTGTATACATGGCAGCTAGGTGGCAC